GTGATTTCTAAGTTTATGAATGCCTAGTAAAAGTTTTCTACATAAGACTCAGATTGATACATTACAGCAAAAATAAGTTTGTTTTCATTATTCTGTAAAAATGGACAATACAATTATCTTTTGACCATATGATATTTGTTGAATGTCTGCATTTTTTTCTTCTTATACATTTATACATACAGTTATCCCAATATCTATATTGAGGATTTGATTAGAAACCTACTCAAGTGAGTTTAAGTGAAGGGAGTTCTATTGTGGGCATAGATAGATACTATGGATCTCTCTAGTGGGTATCTATTGCTTGGTCTGCTCAGCAACCTTTCCACCTCTTCCCCTGGAAATGTCCCTCTCTGTCTGACTTCAAACTTACAGTTCCAAAGGCCCTGTTTTCTTACAGTCTGAACACATGATTGGATAATTGAAGGCTTTTTCAAGTTGTTTCAAAAAATAACAATGCATTTGCTGGGTTCAGACATTCTACTAAGCACTTCAAACATTTTATAATAACTATCATTTTTCTCCACTTGTTACAGGTAAAGAAACTACAGGTTAGAGTCATTGTCCCAGTCTTAGTGCAAATAAATGATAGAGCTATTATCTGAAGTCAGGCAGGCTGATTTCAACCTGGAAATGTTTAACCATTAATTTCTAATGGTGGGAGGAAACATGTCTGAGAATATGAGGGTATTGCACAAGGAGAAATACAGATGAGGGCTGAGAGGAGAGTTGATGGTGGCATTTGAGTCTAGATCAAGTTGCTTTTGAGTTGTATCTATACCTGTGCCCTTCCTAGGGTGTGATTGTTTAAACATTCCTTTAATTCTGACAGCATCTCCCATTCTCCCAATAAGTCTCGCCTTTTCTTTTTCTCTTGTAAACTTACTGAGTTGAGTTGCTGAAAGTCCAAGGAAGGGAAAGATAGTAAAAGTGAGTGCCTCAGGGAAGGGCAGAGGAATTGAGAAGCCAAAATTCAGTGTTTCTCTCTCTGCTTCTCAAGGGCAGAAAAGCTCCCTTTCTTTCTGCTTCACTCTGTCTTCTCTAGGCCTTTTCTTTCTTTCCATTGCTTTTCTCCAACTACTCATTTTATTTTCCCTGGCTAGAGCTTTTCTTTTCTCTTTTCCATGGCTGTTTTTGGTTTATTTTTCTATCCAATGTACAATTCCTTCCAAATGGATCCAGAAATAACTTACACACATAAATGGGTCCTTGTTAAAATATCTGAGCGGCAAATATCTTTAGCTAATGAAGATCTTTTTGGAGGGGAAAGAGTAGTGTGGATGAAGGAAGTGTGGAGAGAAATCCACCCTGATCTAATCACCAGATGAGGAATTAAAAAAGACCACCCTATAGTATAAATTGCAAACATAGCTTATTTAGAACCTATTCTAAATGTCTCAGATGTTAGTGTTTGGAAAATTTGAGTGCCTTTACGGGAAAGTCTAAAGAAAGCTTGCTGGAATCATGAGAATTGAATTTTAGTCATAGTATCACTATGCCTTTTCTTGATTGTTATATAATGATTATATTATTGCTTGGCCTGTCCACCTTATAAAAATGCTGTCAGACATAATATTATATGAATAATATGAATGTGCTTAGAAAATGGTAAAGGTACAGGTAAACATAGGAAGTATGAATCTTATCCTGTGGTTTGTCCAAAATAAGCAATCAATATATTCTATGTATTTAAGAAACCATTATTTCAGCAGGTTTTTTGAACTTGACTGAGGGGAAAGCAGGACATTCAGCCACTAAAATAACAGGTTCACCATGATTTCTCTTCCTCTCTCTCTCTCTCTCTTTTTATTGAGACAGAGTCTCACTCTGTTGCTTGGGCTAGAGTGCCATGGCATCAGCCTAGCTCACAGCAACCTCACACTCCTGGGCTCAGGCGATCCTCCTGCCTCAGCCTCCTGAGTAGCTTGGGACTATAGGCATGTGCCACCATGCCCGGCTAATTTTTTCTACATATTTTTAGTTGTCCAGCTAATTTCTTTCTATTTTTTTTTTAGTAGAGATGGGGTCTTGCCCTTGCTCAGGCTGGTCTCGAACTCCTGAGCTCAAACGATCTGCCTGTCTCGGCCTCCCAGAGTGCTAGGATTACAGGCGTGAGCCCCGCCTGGTCCACCATGACTTGTTAAAAGCATTTTGTGACATGATGGATAGAATAGACATGATGAGATCCATTACTGCTACTATGATTCTTTCTTTTTCTCAATTTTTATCCACCTTTCCATGAGTAGTTTAGCAACCATGTCCCAAGATTCCATCCAACTGACTCATTTCTTTAAATTTTTATAACTTTGCCTGAATTGTTCAAATTGACTTTTATAAAAGAATACATGCTCCTTTTAGACAGGGACTATGGTTTGCTGCGCACCATTCTGAGTACTCAATAAACACTAAAAATATTGCCTCTGAATCATTTTTAAATCATTCAATTTATGACTTTTTTGAACCAAAACGTCCTACATTCTATCTATTCTTATATAAAGTACTATTGTGCCATTTTGCTTCCCACTTCTGATATATTCAGTAGATATAATTTAATTGCAAATAGCAAGCATATAGTCTTGATTTTTGATATCTAAAACTGCAAATGATTCACTGAAAGTTACACAGTGTGCCTCTTTCTGTTTTTTATCGCCATGCTGAAACTTAAAAGGATAAGAAAAGTTCCAAAATTGGTGTAAAATAGCATGATCAGAGCTCGGTGCATCAGCAGACAATAAATATTCAACTGAATTAGGAAGGAGAGAAATGAGGTATTAGGAATAGGTTAGCAAAGATGAATGAGCAGAGGCAATCAGAGGGCTAGTAATTTTACCTGAGTTAGATGGAGCGCCTGGTGGAAAATTAACTTGGAAGGAAACCATTCGCAGTGAGAGTATTTTATACTATTTGTACTTATTGGTTCATTCATTCATTATATATTTATTGGGTGCCTACTGTGTGTCAACTACTAGAATAGTCTCTGGAGATAAAAATCTAGCTTTTCATCTCTGTATAAACAATGTGACAAGGATTATAATGGAACAATGAGAGGAATTTAATAAAGATTCTATAGGGATATGTGTGTGCGTTATGTATGTGGAATGTTCATGAGATATTTTTTTTCTACCTGAAGAAAAGATTTTATACTAGCAGACAGTAATTGTAAACTTTTTCTCCAAAATTTGTTTCTTTCCAAATATACAGCTTTTCCCTTGCTTATGTTTTTCACATAAGAAATGGGTATTTTCCAATAATAATTACTATAATTTTAAGATTCCTTAAGTTTTCAAGTCAGAGCGCTGCAAGTTAGGAACAGGAAAATCAATAGTCAGTGTGATATCTCTGAAAGTTTCATTTTACAAAACAAAAATATGAACAGCTCCAAAAATCAGTGATGCTTTGATTTTATGGCTAATATGACCACAAAAATTCAAAGCACAAGGTAGCAGTATTTTATATAAATATTAAGAAGGAAATCATTTCCAAGGAAACTTTCTTTCTCCATATAGCCTCCTTATAATATTTTATAATTTGACGGTATATTTTCCACATTATTTAAATGTTAATAAAATAGCTCAAATATAGTATAAATCAGCAAGATTATTCTAAGGTATTATTAGAAATTGCTAGAAATGTAAAATGATACATAAATGCTTTTTAAAACAATGTACAAAATAGACTTATTTTTCCAGTAGACTTATGCCCAAGCATAAATAACCACTCCCACAGATTAGTGTGAGTACAAAAGCCAGATCATAACTAACAGGGAATAAGCAATGTAGGCTTAGATATAGATGACTAAAAAAATCAATTCATGAATTATTTTTTAAAAAACTAAAGAAATTTGTAAAAATACCTAATGTAAACATAAATATCTTTAAGCAGATGTAGTTTCAACTTTAAATTTACTTTCCCAAATTCATGATATGTTAGTGTGTTATGAAGCATCATACATAAGTTTACTCTAGCCAAAATAAATTTACTTTAAATAGGAAAAGAGAGCTCAGCCAACATATTTTGGTTAGCTAACATAATTTTTAAAGCTGTTATATTTTTAAATTGTTAGACATATATAACCATATAAACACCAGAGCTATAAAAACAAATTCAAAAAATATTAAAATGTCACAACACTGACATGAATATTTATGCTGACTTTATTTTATTGGATATAACTAGGAAAATGGTAAAGAAGGAGGAAAAGAATACAGGAGTGCACAAAATAAAAATTCTGGCTGCTACTAATGCCAACATTCAACTATAAATTTACTTTTCAGAGCGCAAGGTGGAAGAAAAGAATTTTGAAAGCCTGCACAGACCTGAATTCAGGGTATAGGAAAAGGAAAATGACATTAAGATGTAAATGTCAAAACTCCATTAATAGATGATACTTGCTTAAAGCCTGAAATATGTACAAGTTCAAAAAATACATACTGATGTGACTTCTTACCTAAATGTTAAATAATCATCAGCTTACTTCTGATATGTTGAAGAGTGAGGACTCTGATTGACAAGGATGAGTGTGTACACTTTGAATTGTGCTCTCTACAATTCTTCTTGATAAATTTCAATTCTTTCAAGTCTGTGGGGCTTTTAATATATGATAGCTCCTTTGCTCTATGTGCTCGAGGGTTAGCTTCATACTGACTGGAAGCACATATATCCTACTTTGTTAATATTACACTCTTCTCCTAACAATGGGTGTTTGTAAAGGTAACTAAAATATTTATTGAATTCTATAGAGGTTATGACTACTAATGTGAAGTGGTCATATGATAGAACATGCAGGCACAGTTTATCAAAATTTAACCCAGCTTCATAAAACTTGTACCAAATAATTCAAATTTTAGTTGTTTTATTTCTATTTTAGTCTCCCTTCAAAGTTGGGTTTTGATTAATCTATCAATAATGTATTTCATTTACTTTTATGGAGCTGGTTCCCTTTCATGGAGCTGGTTCAATACATAATCAAAAATGAATATGTAATAAAAATATAATAAATGAATGAATCTGACTTCACCCTGATAACAAAATTGTCCCTTTTTTCTTTTATATCAAATGTTCTGCTTTTCATCTTCTTTTTCTCCCTTTATCCACTTTGACTATTAAAAAAATTAATATTTGTTTGCTTTTCTGCATCTTTTTTTTCTTTTAAAAGTACTTCCATGTGGGCATGTGTGTTTGCGACATAAAAGGCTAGAAGGCTTGAAATTACCGGTGCCCCTTATTGATAGGGAAAGTCCACTTTGCACATGTACCTTGTCATGGAAGAAAAGTTTAAGTAAAAGTAAACAAAACAAAAATCTAAATACAAGCAAGAGCTTGTGAATCTGTGAAAGACTTGGTTACGAGTAAAAGGAAGGTCTAATACATGGGAATGGAATCCTTTTTGTTAACATTTTAAGTCTGTCTAGCATCCCTGGTAATCAGGGTTTTCTATTACATCAAAATATGTTCCAAGTTTTAAATTATTGACTTAAAAACTAATTTAGGTATCTAAATTATTCATTTAAAGACTAACATGGGAGTACAAGCATTAGTAAACTGAAGGCTAACTACTAAAAAATATATAAAAGTAAATGAAATATATTATTGATAGATTAATCAAAACCCAACTTTGGAGGGAGACTAAAATAGAAATAAAACAACTAAAATTTGAATTATTTGGGACAAGTTTTATGAAGCTGGGTTAAATTTTGATAAACTGTGCCTGCATGTTCTACCAAATAGAGAAAAATCCCCGAGAGCATTGAACATCACCCATTTACCTCTGAAGTCAAAACTGCCCTTTCATCCAATTCAACAACTCTGCAATTCCCAAAGTCTACAGGCCATTCAGCCGTGCCATGTTTGGCTCATGGACATGGACATGAGCTAGAGAGGAAAATTCAAAAGAAAGGCAGTAGTGAAAGAGACATCATTACTTCATCAAGTAATGAATGAAAGAAGCCAGTAGTATTTTTTAAAGGAGGATAAAAAAATTTTAGGGAATCAAAGAATAGGTGCTCAGTAAGTGTAGTCAGGTTCTGCAGTCTTTTCATAAGCTTTGGCCAGAAGCAACTCTTCCAGCTCTTGGGAATGTAGGTTGCAGAGTTCACTCTGGTTCCCCATGTACAGTCAAATCTCCAAGTATCATTTCTGTCCAAGGGCAGTCTGTGCTGGCACACAAAAGAATAAGAAGGAGGGGTAAAGAGGGAGAGGTTGGCTAGTGTTAAAGGGAGAGCTTTTCCACAGGGTTCTATGGTTGCTATAGTAACAGCTTCTTTTGTTTGTACATATTCAGAACAGCTGCTTCCTTTTGGTTTCTGGTGGCAGGGATATTATAGAGGTAACTGAGAGGGAAAGAAGCACCACTCTTACCATGAAAAATAGTTTCCATAGCCAGATTTTTCTTGTTTAACTGGATTTAACTTTATACTAGTATTAAATGTGGCTTTTGAATGTTGTTGGGTAACAAGAGATTTTAAATGGTGGTGAATTCCAACAAGAAAAGACCTGGGTGTGTTGTGATCTGCATCATATCTTGTGCTAACTTCAACAGCAGACCTCCACTCTCTTGTGCCTTTAAGACTTGAAACACTTCATTTTATTTCTACCTGGTATGAATGCAAACTGTACTGCAAGCTCCCTAGAAGGTATTTTTCGCAACAGGGAAAATGCCCTTCTAAATGCCCACAAATCTCTATATACCTTTCCAAGTACTAATTAATTCCTCTAATTAGAGCTTTTTCTGGCTGCAACCATTTACCAAGTTGAATTGCTCCGTACAAACAAGTTTAATGAATATTCATCAATTAATAATATTCACTGAGTTAACGGTCCTATTGCCCACATACTGCTATTGCAACCAGCGTATTACAGCCTTCTATAGACCTTACTAAAGAAAAGCCATCTCCAAGGAAAAGGCAGAGAAAAATATAATTTTATTTTAAGGAACAGATGCCCTACCAATTATATTTCATACACTGTAGTTTATGCATGTGTGTGTATATATATATACTGTATATATAATATGTTCAAATATAATATGCATACATATGTACTTTATGTAATAAAATACATGTATAAATGTTTATGCATATATATGCATCTCTATTAATATAAGTAACATGGAATAAAATAGAAACTTAAGGGGTTAAAAATATTTAAGCAAAGCATTAAAAATGGCATCTGCAGGCTAAATAGTCAAATTTTATAAATATACAAACTGAGGATGCAAATAAGCAAAGCAGAAGGTACAGCTTTCCTTATAAACAAATTAATATTGAACATAGGTTTGTTATCGTGTTTTTAACTCTTTGGAATTTAGAAAAAGTGCAATATGAAAGTGAAGTGATGCTCTCGTTTTTAAATTAAAATTTATTCATTATTTTTCAATGAGGAGTTTTCAATTTTTGACTTTTTAATAATCCCGGAAACAGTTTGTTGGTTTAATTTGGCAACTGCAGCTATTCACAGGTGTTACATCTTAAGACTCAGTTCATGGCAATTTGGTTATATACATGAAATAGTATTTGCCTGAGAATTCTCACAACAATCCACTTACACTATCCCTTTACTTCCTAAAATTTGAATGAAAAAATTTTGATTGATTCAAAAAACAGTAGAAATGTTTAGATTATTCAATTAAAATATAGAGTTCCTGAGCATTACTTTTGAATTTCATATGTATTCATATTTATTCTATTTATTTAAATGATGATGTTTTCAAGTCTAAAGGTTTTGTACTAATGTCAGTTAATTATAAATTACAAAATGTCAAATTTAGAGTCCAAGTGTTTCAATTTTTCTGCTTTCTGACTGCATGTTTTGGAGCAAATGTCTAACCACTGTGAGCATGAGTTACACAAATTATAAGACAATGATACCAACATCTTTTGTATATAGTGTTGACAGAATCAATTAAGATAAGAAATATATATTCATGCTGAAACTGCAAACATCATATGATTCTGTTATGATAATATATATAAATTATGGAAAAGTAATCACTTTTATTTTTTGCCTAATGAATCTTATTTTCACCTCTTCTCCTCCTCTTATGTTCTTAAGTATTACCAATATGGTTATGACATCTATATCCCTAAATATAGTCTTGCATTTTTTTTCCAAGCTCCAAACCTAAATTTTCCAATATTTGCAACTGAAGTCCTATTACTTATCTCAAATACGTTGGATCCAAATCCGAACAATTTATCACATCTTTCAAACACATTTCTCCTTGCTGTCATTTGTGATAAAGGCATTACTTGTCTTCCAGTTACTAAGGTCCAAAACTCTCAGAGTTACCTTTTCCTCACATCCAGGTGACTGTTAAGCTTTACACCTTTTCAACTTGGGACAGTCTCATAGATTTGAATTCTAATTTCCATTCCCATTCGACTCTGGTGGAAATTATGAATTCTTACTCAGGCTATTGCAAAGTCTCCCAATCTCCAATTTCCCCAACATTCCGCAGACCACTTCTTTTTCCTATAGCACATTACTGGCTTCCTCAAATATTTGATGGTTTCTATCTGCCAACTGAACTGTTCAAACTTCTTAGCCTGACCCTCAGGGCATTTTATGATCAAAGTCCAGTCTACATGTTATTGTTATTTTCATTGTTCTTATAAAATGAAATTTCTTATCATTCCCCAACATTATTCATGTTAATATGAGTTGGCTACATTATTCATGTAAATACATGTATATACAAGTGAGTTCATGCTTACTGTTCCCCTTCCCGGTGTCGCCTTCCTCAAACCCGACTTCAAGAGATCGAAGAGATCAAATGCCACTTCTTTTATGAAATTTTCCTCAATTCCCTCCCTCTGTATTGAGGTAGAACTTGTTTGTCTTTCCTGTGGAATTTACATGGCTTTGCATCATTGTTATTTTTGTATATTTCTGACTGCCTTTATTAGATTTTTTTGAATATATTACTTATTCAACTTATTATTTACGATGGCAACTAGTATAATACACTTTATTATATAAAGTATTTTAAATAAATAGAATTTCTACAAATTTAAACAATTTGTAGGTGATTGCCTATAATTTCTTATATATCAATAAAGTAAGTCTCCGAGTGAAACTCGATTTTTTTCTGACATTTCATCTGATGACATACTTTTGTATCTTCAGAATACCTCTATTTGAATATTTTATGAATAGCTTTAAATTACTGGTATAATACTATATAGTTCACAAAGAAAATTATTGCTGGATATACCTACTCGGTAGTGTTGCTCTTTAAAAGAAATGTGCAAGAAAAAACATCACTCCTTTTCTTCCTGAAGGCAGCAGATGCCTTAGACTGAGGTATTTTATCTGAGGGCTATTGAAGTTGCCAGCTTAATAGGTAAGCCTACAGGCTGAGGTAGAAAAGCATAAAGATAAGAAGAACCTAGAACCATCATGTCATACTTGAGCTGTTGAATTACCACCACTGGACCTGTTCTACTTCCAAATATTTGTTATATAGGATAATGAATCCCTTGTTGTATAAGCCTCTTGTAATCAGGCTTTCTGTTACTCTAGGCCAAAAACATCATAAAGAATGGTACAGGCATTCGGAGAAATGAGTTGATGACAGACTGTGAGCTCCCAGGGACAGAAAGCGGGAGTTAAAGTGAGTAGAGTAATGGTGACTTTCCAATATTTTACAAGGTAGGCTATATTCGTTTGATTAGTCATTACAGAATTTCCCTGTAGTCTTTAAATATATCCCTATTTTATTTGTGTTTAAAATCTGATTTCAGATTCTCTGATCCAAACAATCAGTAAAAAGGACAACATATATTATCACATTCAAACCCATGGCAATAACTCTGTAAGTTAAATATTAATATTTTCTTCATTTTAGAAATGAAAAAACTAGATATGAGAAAACTGAGTGTTGCAAAGGTCTTAGCCGGTAACCTGAGGGAAGTCTGAACTTAAACTCAGATTTTCTAACTAAAATGCTGTTCTTTGACAACACACTATGTCCTTCTCTTTGCATTCACTTCATTGCCTTGTTATCGTCTTTTATTTCCAACTTATCCATTAATATCAATTATTGCACTTTTCTGGCTTCATAAGAATAAAACCTTTTTCTAACCCTTTATCCTTTTTTGCTCCAACTCATTGAGTATTGTGTATTTACTCCCTTGGAGTATTTATTATGTCTTCCATTTTCTCTCCCTTTCCACTGGACACAAGTGTTAAAGTCAAGTGACTGGCAGAGCAGCCAGCTCAGATTCAGTTAGAAACACATTGATTGATTTTAAACTTAAGATACTGAAAGCCCCATTTGATTACATGGAATCGATAGTGGAGGTCAATTAGGACTATAAGGAAACTAAATATAACTTTAGTTTTTGTATCTCAGGCATTTTGCCTCCTTTGTCTCCTCCACTACAACTAATTCATTGCATTAAACATTCATTTAGCATGTATCAATGTGAGTAATATACTATCTCTGTCTTTGAGAAGCTTATACAGTAGAGGAAAGAAACAGATATAACTCAGAGAAGAAAAGCAAAAAGCACCAGTCTATACTCTTCCTGTATGCAGGAAACATTGATCTCTACACATGGCTAACCTAATCCCTCTCTCTGAAGCTTTTCACCAGTCTTTTCTTATATAACCAACTGTTATGAAGCTTTGCTTCAATTGGATTATTTCACCCCATCATTACAGTGACCTTTTATATACATTTTTCACAGTCGTACTTAATTTTTTTGTACCATATTAGAATTCTTCCTAGAGCAAAGCATGACTATATTTCCCTAAACTAGATGATAATTTGCAACAGTCAAATGATAGACATACTCTATTCTCTAATATCAAAGGAAGAGAGTCCTTGAAAGGAGAAAATAGGTTTTGCTATAAATAAAAAGGTGTCTAAAATCAATATTTTTCATTGCCTAAACTAGGAATTTCTGAGATTAAAATACTCACAAATTTATGAATTAATTTCTAAACTTGTGGCTATCCAATTTTCCTAGCACCATTTATTTAATAGGGATTCTTTTCCCCAGTGTATGTTTTTGTCTGCTTTGGCAAAGGTCAGATGACAATATGAGGATGGTTTTATATCTGGGTTCTCAGTCCTGTTCCATTGGTCTATGTGTCTGTTCTTGTGCCAATAAAATGCTGTTTTGGTACTATAGCCTTGTAGTATAGCCTGAAGTCTGGAGGATTTATGCCTCCCATTTGTTCTCTTTGCTTAAGATTGCTTTGACTAAACGGGATTCTCTGGTTTTGTACAAAGTGTAGAATCATTTTTTCTAGATATGCAGAAAATGATGTTGGTATTTTAATAGGGATTGCACTGAATCTGTAGATCACTTTCAGTAGTATAGACATTTTAACAATATTGATTCTGCTGATCCATGAGCATGGTAGGGTTTTCCAGCTGTTTGCATTCTCTGCAATTTCTTATCTCAGTGTTTTGTAGTTCTCCCTGTATAGATATCTCACCTCCTTTGTTAAATTTATTCCTAAATATTTAATTTTCTTTGATGCTATTGTGAAAGGTGGTGTATCTTTGATTTGATTCTCTGCTTGACTGTTATTGGCTATTTGAAAACTACTGATTTGTGTGCACTGATTTTGTAACCTGAGACTTTGATAAATTCATTTATAAATTACAGGAGAATTAATACCTCTTCTATTATCCTGGGTGGAGAATTAATACCTCTTCTATTATCCAAATATCACAAGATTGGAAAAACAAGTACCATGTGTACTCACCACTAAATTGGTACTTTGACCACACATAACGTGCACATATGGAAGTAACACTCATTGGATGTTGGGCAGGTGGGAGGGGCTGGAGGGGATGGGGAAATTCACACCTAATGGGTGCAGTGTGCACTGTCTGGGGGATGGGCATGCTTGTAGCCCTGACTCAAGTAATACAAAGGCAATATATGTTAACCAAAGTGTTTGTACCCCCATGATATTCTGAAATTTAAAAATAAATAAATAAATAAAAATTTAAAAATAGAAAGCATTTGAAAATAAAGAGTTCACAAGCAGCTGCCCATACCAACCCAGTTTCCAACTGTATTCGTAATAAAGATACTTACAAGGCCAAAAAAAAAAAAAAAATTCTAAACAGTGGAACTAAAAGAACAAAAAATAATAAAAATTCATAGATGTTTTCTTGTAATTTTATTAACTCAATATGCATTCATTAACAATAGGCATTGTGGATGTAAAGACAAAGGGTCCTTAGGCTTCTAAAAATGTATAAACTTAGTGAACAATAATTCCTCTCATATTAAAAGAAGATTTCTAAATAAACTTTGGGTGGACACTGTTGGTACTATTTTCTTTGGACCTTGTTAGAAGTAACTAATAAGGGCAACTTTTATCTGCTTGACAATTTCCAGGAGTCAAAATACTAACATATATAATAGTGAAGGTTACAGACTAAATATAGTTCAATCAACATCAAACTGAAAGCCCTTTGAATATTTTAGTCACAAAAAAGCATCATTCTAAATAATTCCAATATATCTTTATATGGAGTAATCATGTTTTAAGGAACTTATACCTTACCAACTTGAAGTAAAAGTGTTGATAAATGACAATGAAGGAAGAGGAAATAAGAATCATGTTATCTTATGATTCACAAACAAAATGAAACAAAAAGCATATTAAGAAACAAAAACAAATAAAAACCTACTAAAGTAAAAAACACAGAGCATAGCAATCAACTTTTTTATACCTATGAAATAACCTTTCATTTTGTAGCTAGAATTAAACTTTAGCTTATCATAACCAATGTTATCACAAAACAATACTTAGGATAAACCAATTCTGAGGCATATCAGTACTTCATAAATGTTTACAACCTTATTATTATTAATTTTGTTTTTAATAATAAATAGATATGATAGTGATTGTCTTTCTTTTAAAAATACAAACACAAAAATATATCAATGCTTTCACAAACTGATAATATATTGTCAACACTCAAACTTTAATATTTCAAGAACTTTTTTCTCATTATAAAATTTTACTTTTTTTTAAAGTGATTTGAAGTGCTATTTTAATGGAACAACATAGCTCCTACGTCATGGTCTCCTTTCTTTGAGAGGAAGTTCAAGGAATATACTGTGAAATACAAATCTAAGAAAAATTAGTTCACAGCCTTTCAGGTAAAGAAGAGAAACTTTCTATACTTCTTTCAATTTCTTCATTTTAAATCATTATTTAAAATATTTTCTTATTTCCTATTCATTTTCCTTTTAGACTTGTATCTTTTAAACCTGTATTATTTAAACTTCTCTTTTTATTATCTCACTGATTTTACCACTTGCTTTTATAATGATCAGCAAAACACTGATCAGAAGTGGAGAGATCTTATATCCTCCATAGGGAAGGAACAGAGAGAAGGAATTGGATAGAACCATTAATCTCAGAGCTGCCTTCCCAGAGAATTTCATTCTGGGAGAGGGATTATCAGAATGGTTGTATTTGCTACTCTTTTACAACTCTTATCCTATATGTAGGGTGGGTAACCTCAGGTTTCTTTTAATGTAGAGCTGTAAGATTTGGGGCCAAATGTACCAAGAGCAAGCCTATTCCCAACATGAATTGTCATGCATGTGGTGAGAAGCAGGACAGTAAAGAAACTCCTTTAACTATAAACTTAATGGAAGAATATTGGCCTCAAAACAAACTTTTTATCATAGAAAATTCTGTATTCCAAAATATATAAAAATGAAAAAGTATAAATAAAAAATAAAAAGTAATGTATAATTCTACCACCCTGAAATAATGACTACCAATATTTTGGTGTATTCCTTTTGAGTCTCCTCTTTTCTATGAATGTGTCTATACTTGCGTATACCTTTGAATAATCTTATAGGCATTGCTTCAAGGGCATTTAACAATGATATTAATTTTCTGTAAACATTTTGATAGTAGTATAATATTTTATATGTTCAATCTATAATTTAACCTTTCCTCATTCTTGATCATTTAAATGATTACAAGACTTTAATTAGCATAAATAGAACAGTGACGAGCATATTCCACATAAATCTATGCCAGCTTTTGAAATAATTTTCTGAGAATATAATTTTTGAAAGAAGACTGAATGTATATTACTGTATATTTATAATTATCTTAATGTATATTACCGTATCGTTTGCTAGAAATACACTATTCTCCTTCTTTATAGCTCCTTTATATCAGGGAGTATTATTAATTTTTAACAAATTTACTGGTTTATTAAAAAATATCTGTTAGTTTTTTTATTAATAGCAAGTCTAATATTAATTTGAACTATGTTATATTTTTCATTTCATTTCATTGTCTTTGTATTTTACATACTATGGTTGAGTTGGGAAATTATATTGCCACTGAGACTCAGCTGCACAAAAGGCTTTTATCTTATTGTCTGCCATGCTTCCTTTTGTTATCCTTTAGGAGGAACTGATAGCTTGTGGTTTGGGACTTTAAAATAGAAATTAATATAAAGGGCTCTTATAAAAAAATATCATCACATTTAAGAGTCAAATGGATATGGATAAAATTAATAGTCAAAGTAAAAGATAGGTAAGATAAAAGAAAAAAAGGAAAGAATGTAGAGATGTATAACTAGAGAGAGGAAAGAAAAAGGAGAAAAAAAATAGATGTTTAGGACGAAGGTGATTGATACTCTTTAGGCATCCATTTGCATTGTGTGCCAGGGAACTCTGATTCCTTAGTGTCTAGCAAGTTGCTGCTATAAAACTCAATGCTCTTATTTTTTCAATAACTACTGCAAAGAGCTAAAATAATGATCTGGCTAATACAAATGACCTGGGCCAAATCAGTCTCTCTCTGGGAAGTGCAGGATTGAGCTGGTTATCCTTGGGTGTTGAGCTAAAATGATGTATTGATTCAAAGACTGTAGTTTGGGCCAAGTATAAGACAGAAAATATTAGTGGAGACAGAGAGAAAGACAGGAAGGAGGAGCAGAGGAAAAAGAAAGAGGGAAGGGAGTGAAAAAAAAGAAAGAGAAAGAGCAAGAAAAAAGAGAGGAGAGAGAGGGGTGAATTGGGAAAAGAAGAAAGGACAGAACTTGAGAACATACGGCCTCTGAAATATAGACTAGCTCAGTCCAGGACTTTGCACTTCCTAACTTCCCTTTCATTGGGGTCTGACTGTAATTCATTTCATAATCTTGGATGGCAATGGGATTTACTCTTATATCTTTATAATATCTGCTATCCTCCCACTTCCATTTTAACCTGATTTACTAAAGTGTATTTCTATTTCTCATTCCCCAAAAAGCTTTAACCAAAGCAATGCAGAGCAGATGAACATGAAGTAACCTCCTGGCTTGGGAAAAGATTAGTCATGGGACCAGCTAGTCTACAAAAAGTTTCACATAAGCTCTCTAATGACTATTATTCCCTCTTCCCTCTTTCCCTGTTCTTAATCTTCTGTTGCTGGAGTTATAACTTGGATTTACGTCCCCACTCACTATCTCAGGCCACTACATACAAGCTGAGTGATTTACTATCAAGAGAAACTTCTAGAAGAATGTTCCAAAATTCCTAAAAGGGTTTCCTGGAATCTTTAGGATCACTCCATTGTTTGCTTAACAAGTATCACCAATATAGTATAGTCAGTTGTCCCTTGGTATCTGTAGGATTCAGTTGCAGGACCCATACACATACCAAAATCCACAGAAGCTAAAGTCCCAATTGGCTCAAGTGCCAATAAAAATTGGCATAGTTGCAAAGTTGTGGAAGCAACCCAAGTGCCCATCAATTCATGAGTGGATTAATAAAATGTGGTATATGTATACCATGGAGTACTATTCAGCTTTAAGAAACAATGGTGATATAGCACCTCTCATATTTTCCTGGATAGAGCTAGAACCCATTCTACTAAATGAAGTATCTCAAGAATGGAAAAACAAGCACCACATGTACTCACCAGCAAATTGGTACTAATGGATCAACACTTCAGTGGACATATAGGAATAACATTTATCGAGTGTTGGGCAGGTGGGAGGGGAGAGGAAGGGATGGGTAAATACAAACACAATGAGTGAGATGTGCAACGTTTAGGGGATGGTCACTCTTGAGGCTCTGACTCGAGGGGGGGTGGGGGGTATGGGCAATATATGTAACCTTAACACTTGTACCCCCATAATATGCTAAAATAAAAAAAATGGCATAGTATCTGTATGTAACCTACACATATCCTCCTGTATACTTTCAATCTGCAGCCTCCAACCTCTGGGATGTGGACTGGGCCTGCAGAGGTCCACCACCCACTTGTCTGTGGAATAGTTGTCTTCCTTGAAACTTAGGAAAGGGGGTAGGGCGAACAGCAGGAGGTGAGCTAGTGAAGCTTCATCTGTATTTACAGCCACTCCCCATCACTTACATCACTGTCTGAGCTCAGCATTCCACCCCCGGCCTCCTTCTGTGGAAAAATTATCTTCCATGAAACTGGTCCCTGGTGCCAAAAAGGTTGGGGACTGCTGCTTTAAATCATCTTTAGATTACTTATAATATCTTATATAATCCAAAGGTTATGTAAATAGTTGTTAGACTTGTATCGTTCAGGGAATGACAAGAATAAAAGGTATGTGCATGTTCAGTACAGACACAACCGTCTTATTTTTTCAATATTTTCTATTTGTGATTGGTTAAATCCACGGATGCAGAAAACATGGGTATGGAAAGCCAACTGTACTCTCTACTAGTGGCAGTAAAAATATGACAGGAAATATTGAAGTTGAGGAGACAAACACATGTAGAGCATATCTTATATAAGCTAAGCACTATGCTAAACACTTTACATAAATTAACTGTATTATACAGTATCTCATTTTATTCTCCTAACAACCTTGTGAGGTTTGTATCATCCTCATTTTACAAAGAAGAAAATGGATAGACAGAAAAGTGATGCAACTTATCAATGGCATGATAGCTAGTAACAGAAGCAAGATTTCAATAGGAGTTAAAATACATGTCTGCTCAAATTTATGACAAGACGCCATAGGGAAGACAGAACTAAGTAATTTATTTGGTCCCTTGTGTGAAACAAGGTAGACTAATGATATGAATTGAGTTAACAGTGATTGCATTATCATATTGGATGTTATATTAAGTTGAAGCAGATTTTACATTATTTCTAAGACTAGCTATCATTATTTGTTTTTAAAAAAAGATTAACTTTGCCTATATAGTGACCCTTTGGGGCATATATTATATAAATGAATTATTAAATATAAACCTGATGTGTGTACTAAGAAAGATGCTAAATTAACAAAAAATTAAGCAGTAAGCTTAAACCTACTGCCAATTGCTTAAAAAGATAAACCAAAATGTACTAACAACAGCAACGTACATACACCGCAAGACTACAAATGCTCAGTGAACCACCAGAATACCCATCAAGGTGAAATTACGTTACAACCAAATCGTGTTTGCATGAGGAATAAAAGATTAGCAATAAAATAAACACCAATGCTGGTGGTGTGGTAAAACATAAGAATTCGGGACAACTGAAAGAACCTGAAGCATAAGGGGTTATATGTCAAAGTAGAAATCATAAAAGAAGGCTAAAAAATAAGATTTTGAGGAAAACTTGATATCAAAATGGATTGGGAAAAACACATTCCTTTACTTCAGAATAGCCTGGGGGCTTTTAGCCTACTACAATTCTACACACATATGTTCAACTGTAAGAACGATTTTGAAGAATGAACTGATGTTATGAAAAATATTCACTCACTACTTTTAAGATTTCCATGTGGACTATTGCTAGATTAGCACTCTTAGCCTTTGATTTCTCCTAAGTGGAAAGTTTGAGGTTCAGTTTAGTGAGAAGTATTATCAGGCCCACTTACTTGCATCTAAGCCAACCATACAGGCTAAACTCAGATTTTATTAGTATTAAAATTGACCCAGCTGTCTGACCACTACATCTAATTCTCAAGTAGTACTTAAATCAGTTAGAAAAGTAAAGGTATTTTTTTGACCTCCTAGAAGTTCAACAGCTAAGATTAACTACATGGGGTGTGTGTGTGTGTGTGTGTGTGTGTGTGTGTGTAAAATCTAAAAAGTCTTTGAACTGTCTATTATGGCTATTAGTGTATACATAAGACCTCTTTATTGACATCTACATTAAAAAAGAGTTGTTTTGT